AAAAGTAGAGAAGAAAATATTGAAAAATTCATCCATCCTTCCTATCTGATCATATCCTATCCTATCCTTCCTATCTATCCTTCCTTCGTATCCTTTCCTTCCTATCCTTCCTATCCTCTCCTATCATATCCTTTCTTCCTATTCTGTTCTATCCTTCTTTCTTATTCTATCCTATCGTTCCTTCCCATTCTATCCTATCCTACCTTCCTATTTTATCCATCCATCTTATTCTGGATGACTCAGCTTATTCTGGATGACTCGGCTTATTTTAGATGACTGGGCTTAAAAAAATCTAGATCTGGAGTCTGAAATTGAACTTCGTTCAATTTCCAAAGTCTAGTTATTTTTCTTTCTTTCTTTCTTTCCGAACACTTTTTCTCAGCAACTAGAAGAACTTACTTTAACCCACTTACATGGCTAAATTAGCCCATCAACCTAGTTTCTGGGAAATTAGGTCAAATTTGTATCTAGGTCAAAGGTCAAGAACTAGGTCAAATTTAGGTCAAATCATTATTATGTCAATTATCTTCATTGTTGATTGTCCTTACTCCTTCATCTTTTTTTCATCATGTAGCTTAGAAAAAAACAAATCGAGAGTGTGCCATCCGTTTTTTAATTACTCTTAGCGATTTTGAGATATGGCGTCCGGAAAGTAGGTCAAACTAAAAAAGTTCTCCAAATTTAACATATGAGCTATGGAATAAGGGTAGAATTTTCTCAGGAATCCGAATCTGCAAACCAAATTTCGATCCGACTTCCCGTTTGGAAGTTATGGCGTTTTTAAATTTCGAGAAAAATCGATCTGATGGTATCCTGATAGAAAGTCAAGGAAAAAATATTTTTTTGAAGTGTAAAATACGAGATATAGACTGAGTACAGCTTAAGATAATGAATTCCTTTAAAAGAAGTGGACCTCAAAAGCTACCTAGTTTCAATATTTGGACACCAAAATTCCTAGGTCAAAATCTAGGTCAAATTTATAGTTTTTCCTTATTTTTGCGATTCTGGCACTACACTTTTATGATTTGCTTCAAAATTTTGTATACAGGTAGCAAAGAGTGTGCTAATAGTGTTAGCCTTTTGCCGTCAGAGAGTATTTTGACCCATTTTTGAGATATGGTGTCCGAAAAGTAGGTCAAAATAAAAAATCCTCCAAATTTAACATATGAGTTATGAATTAAGGGTAGAATTTTCCCAGGAATCCGAATCTGCAAACCAAATTTCGATCTGTCTTCCGGTTCCAAAGTTATGGCGTGTCCGAAAAGTAGGTCAAAATAAAAATTCGCCAAATTTAACGTATGAGTTATGAATTAGGGGTAGAATTTTGTCAGGAATCCGAATCTTTAGATCAAATTTCCATCAGACTTCCGGTTCGGAAGTTATGGCGTTTTGAAATTTCGAAAAATCGATCTGATGGTATCCTCAAAGAAAGTCAAGGAAAAAATATTTTTTTGAAGTGTAAAATACGAGATATAGATTGAGTACAGCTTAGGATAATGAGTTCCTATAAAAGAAGGGGACCTCAAAAGCTACCTAGTTTCAATATTTGGACACCAAAATGCCTAGGTCAAAATCTAGGTCAAATTCATAATTTTTCCTTATTTTTGCGATTCTGGAACTACACTTTTAGGATTTGCTTCAAAATTTTGTATACAGGTAGCAAAGAGTGTGCTAATAGTGAGAGCCTTTTGCCGTCAGAAAGTATTTTGACCCACTTTTGAGATATGGTGTCCGTAAAGTAGGTCAAAATAAAAAGTTCTCATAATTTAACTTATGAGTTATGAATTAAGGGTAGAATTTTCTCAGGAATCCAAATCTGCAAACCAAATTTCAATCTGACTTCCGGTCAAAAATTCCTAATTACCTACCTACCTACTTACCTACTCGGCTACCTACTTAGCTACCTACTCAGCTACTTACTCAGCTACCTACTCAGCTACTTACTCAGCAACCTGCTCAGCTGCTTACTCAGCTACCTACTCAGCTACTTACTCAATTACTTAATCATCTACTTACTCAGCTTCCTACTCAGTTACTTACTCAGCTCTTTACTCAAGTAAATCAATCTGGAGTCTTAAATTGAACTTTGTTCAATTTACCAATCTAGTTATTATTATTTTTCTTTCCGAACCAGTTTTCTCAGCAACTAGAAGGACTTACTTAAATCTGCTAACACAGTCAACTGGGTAATGAGACCTAGTTTCTGGGAAATTAGGTCAAATGTTTATCTAGGTCAAACGTCAAAATCTAGGTCAAATCGTTAGTTTTCACTATTTTACAAGTTTTCTCAGTCGTCCTTCGGTATTTTGGCTCCGGGTTTTTTTCATCTTGTAGCTTAGATAAAAAGCTAATTCCGAAAGGCAAACCGTTTTTTGATTACTCTTACCGATTTTGAGAAATGACGTCCGAAAAGTAGGTCAGAACATAAAAATTCCTCCAAATTCAACGTGTGAATTATCAAATAGGTGTAGAATGATCTCAGGAATCCAAATCTGCAAACAAAATTTCAATCCGACTCCCGGTTCGGAAGTTACAGCGTTTTGAAATCTCAAAATCGCTAAATTTGGCGCCCCATGTTAAGTCAATGGGGAAAAAGACTTCTTCGAAGTGTTAAATACGAGATATAGACTGAGTACAGCTTAACATAATGAAAGCCTATTAAAGAAGAGGACCTCAAAGGCTATCTAGCTTTAAAATTTGGACAGCAAAATGCCTAGGTCAAAATCTAGGTCAAATTTATAGTATTTTCTTATTTTTGCGATTCTGACACTACACTTTAATAATTTGCTTCAAAATTTTGCACACAGGTAGCAGAGAGTGTGCTAATAGTGTTAGCCTTTTGCCGTCAAAAAGTATTTTGACCCACTTTTGAGATATGGTGTCCGAAAAGTAGGTCAAAATAAAATGTTCTCAAAATTTAATATATGAGCTATGAATTAAGGATAGAATTTTCCCAGGAATCCGAATCTGCAAACTAAATTTCAATCCGACTTTCGGTTCGGAAGTTATGGCGTTTTAAAAGCTCAAAAATCGCTAAATTTGGTGCCCCATGTTATGTCAATGAGAAAAAAGATTTTTTTGAAGTGTAAAATACCAGATATAAACTGAGTACAGCTTAACATTCTGAAAGCCTATAAAAGAAGGGGACCTCGAAGGCTATCTAGCTTTAAAATTTGGACACCAAAATGCCTAGGTCAAAATCTAGGTCAAATTCATAGTTTTCCTTATTTTTGCGATTCTGGCACTACACTTTTAGGATTTGCTTCAAAATTTTGTATACAGGTAGGAAAGAGTGTGCTAATAGTGAGAGCCTTTTGCCGTCAGAAAGTATTTTGACCCACTTTTGAGATATGGTGTCCGTAAAGTAGGTCAAAATAAAAATTTCTCATAATTTAACTTATGAGTTATGAATTAAGGGTAGAATTTTCTCAGGAATCCGAATCTGCAAACCAAATTTCAATTCGACTTTTCGTTGGGAAGTCATGGCGTTCTGAAAGCTCAAAAATCGCTAATTTTGGTGCCCCATGTAATGTCAATGAGAAAAAAGATTTTTTTGAAGTGTAAAATACCAGATAAAGACTGAGTACAGCTTAAGATTCTGAAAGTCTATAAAAGAAGGGGACCTCGAAGGCTATCTAGCTTTAAAATTTGGACACCAAAATCCCTAGGTCAAAATCTAGGTCAAATACATAGTTTTTCCTTATTTTTGCGATTCTGGCACTACACTTTTAGGATTTGCTTCAAAATTTTGTATACAGGTAGCAAAGAGTGGGCTAATAGTGTTAGCCTTTTGCCGTCAGAGAGTATTTTGACCCACTTTTGAGATATGGTGTCCGAAAAGTAGGTCAAAATAAAAAATTCTCCAAATTTTACATATGAGTTATGAATTAAGAGTAGAATTTTCTCAGGAATCCGAATCTGCAAACCAAATTTCGATCCGACTTCCGGTTCCAAAGTTATGGCATGTCCGAAAAGTAGGTCAAAATAAAAATTCGCCAAATTTAACGTATGAGTTATGAATGAGGGGTAGAATTTTGTCAGGAATCCGAATCTTTAAATCAAATTTCGATCCGACTTCCGGTTTGAAAGTTATGGCGTTTTGAAATTTCGAGAAAAATCGATCTGATGTTATCCTGATAGAAAGCCAAAGAAAAAAGATTTTTTTGAAGTGTAAAATACGAGATATAGATTGAGTACAGCTTAAGATAATGAATTCCTATAAAAGAAGGGGACCTCAAAAGCTACCTAGTTTCAATATTTGGACACCAAAATGCCTAGGTCAAAATCTAGGTCAAATTCATAGTTTTTCCTTATTTTTGCGATTCTGGCACTACACTTTTAGGATTTGCTTCAAAATTTTGTATACAGGTAGCAAAGAGTGTGCTAATAGTGTTAGCCTTTTGCCGTCAGAGAGTATTTTGACCCACTTTTGAGATATGGTGTCCGTAAAGTAGGTCAAAATAAAATGAGTTATGAATTAAGGGTAGAATTTTCTCAGGAATCCGAATCTGTAAACTGATTTTCGATCAAACTTCTGGTTAGATAGTTATAGCGGTTTGAAGTCTCGAAAAGTCGATATGATGACATCCCCATGTCATGCATATGGAGTCAAAGATAACATTCTTAAGAGTTGTCAAAATGTCTATATTCTAGCTGACTCAGCTTATAGTGAATGACTCAGCTTACAAGTAATTGGATGACTCAGCTTACAAGTAATTGGATGACTCAGCTTAAAACAAGTCTTAAATCTGGAGTCTTAAATTGAACTTGTTCAATTTACATGTCTAGTTATTGTACCTCTCTAGTGATTAGAGGTAAATAAATATGCAATACAATACAATACAATTCAATACAATAAGGTAACACAATGTGTACACTGCAACTAAACTGTAGGAATGATAAGCAATAGGTGGTATTAATCGATTTACTGGATTGGTCATTATTTTCTGGAATGGGAGATACCAAAAACGATAATGAATTTGTTTGATGTATAATTTTAGGAACATCCTACATCCAAATTAAACAACTCAACCCGGTTGATCTGACTGACATACGTCACTGGGGCACTCACGTTTCTAAGAGTAGCATCAGTAATTTGTACTTTGTGTGCGGTGTTATGTACACGATGGACTCCTGGAACACCCCAATACCCAGTGGGAGCCAGTATGCATTCGATACAAGAGGTATAACATTCTCATATTAATAAACATCAAAAGACCAAATTAATCAATAAAAAATAAATAAAAATCAGATTCTCAGCAAACAGATATAGTTTCTGTATCTTTTTTTGCATTGAATAAATAAAAAAGTTTTTTCTGTTTCTCTCCATTTTTGCATTTGTATTTTAGAATTCTAGATTCTCCTAGTTATTTTCCAGTTTTCAGAAGAAATGTTTCTCTTGTGGAAAATAATTGTTACTATACCGCTCTTTTAACATCATATCTGCAACTATCAGACTTTTGTTTACGTGACCTCATATTCTTTCAGCTGATAATGGAAGAGGGGCCAGTTTTACTACCAATATCGCAATCCCTGCCATGTACAAAGATATGGTTGAACTGAGTTATGAACCAAATAACAGAATGCTATTTGCGATGGATTCTTCACATCTGATGACATACACACTGATGTTTGAACCCAAGGCAGTCTCTAATGCAACTACCACTCCTGCGCCCTAACATATGGATTGACTTGGACTGAACTTTCAATTCTGAAAAATTTTCAAGCTTTGGAATTTTTAACAAAGCAACTTTGTGTCAGTTGATGGTGCAAATTGTTGGGTGTTATAAATTTTGAACATTGGATTATTCTAGAAACTGTGCCCTTTTTGATTATCAGGCAAATGATTGGACCAACTTATATGTATCCCCCACATTTATAAATATCTATAGATTTGAGTTTTCAAGTTGAGTGAATTTAGGCTTTAATTTTATTACTAATTTCTTGGTATAATTTGTGGGACCATGTCTACAATTTAACAGTAAGCTTGTCCTAGATTGGTAATAAATATTTGAGATTTTTCAGATAAAGATAATCTTACTATTAAATTATTAGGTTACCGTGCTAGATATCACTGTTGACTTCAGATCTGATAACATGTACTTTTGAGAATCTTTTAAACTGTCGTAGAACTTTCTGTTGTTTAGTAGAGAACAAAAATACAATAGTTTCAATTTGTAATTCTTTATTTCTTCAAGTGTACTTTGAAATATTCATGTAGTTTAATTTTAAATGAACAGAATAATAATAGAAATTAAGAATTCTAACATCGTTTTATGTTAATTGACAACAATAAATGAATGTTCCACACTTTAGTGTCAAAATTGACAATGGTGCAAGGTTCCTGTACTGATTAATAAATATGCCTGCCGGATTTGGCTGCTATCACCTTTGTGACACCCTGTATGGACAAAAAGATATACAAAAACATAAGTGAAAATAAGCTCTTGCACCAACCAATACTTGGCATGGTCTGATCAGTACAAGTCTACTGAATATACCTTTTCTTTACTCAGAACTTTATAAAAACAATTCATAATATGATTTAGTGATTATGCTAAAGAATGGACCTGTTACAATAGACTAGACGCGAATATAAACAATCTTGATCTACGTCATTAATTATTCAAAATTCAGTCAAAGTGATGTCATATTTGTAATCTACCTGTAAAAGTACATCTAGGAATATGGTTTCGAAAATTGTTTACCAACTTTGAAAATTTAATTTGTTTTGAGAAAATGACTTCTAGTTTGGGGAGATTCCCCAAAGACTCCATGTTATAAAATCAAAAAGTAATAGTAGGAATAGGGTTTCGAAAATGTATTATGAAATCAAAAAAAGATAACTATATTTTGTATTGACAGATAATATTTTATTTTACTTAGCCTATTTTGATTTGCATAACTATTAGAAATATAAGGGTGATATGAAAAGTGAACCACTAAAACTGATGAATATTTAAGTTAAAGTGAACTTTCTGCTATACCTGCCATGCTATCTGACCCGAATGAGCTACCTGGTGTGAAACTACCTACTCGCATCCGAGTTAGCCTATTGCTACGGTTTCAAAACAGTAAACAATGGCACAAGTAAACATCAGATATGTTTTATTTACAAAGATCCATCTATTGTAAGAATATAGTGTAGTTTTTATGTCACCACCAAAAGGGGTGACATATTGTTATGGTGTCCGTTAACTTCCAATAACTTGACAAAAACTGTTTGGACTGACTTCAGTTTTTTGCTAAATCATCTAAGTTTTCAGGAGTTCGAATCTGACTTTATATTTAAGATTTGACCATCAGTGACCTTTTCAAGGTCAAAAAAGGTCAAAAATGTCTTTTTAAACTTGCTTCAAATTGACCATTATTTTTCCAAAATCATCTACAAGTTATCAGAAGTTCAAATCTGACTATAGATTTGACCTTTAATGACATTCTCGAGGTCAAAGAAATATTTGACCTTTAATGAACTTCGCAGGGTCAGAAAGGTCGTTTTTCAACTTACTTCAAATTGACCTTTTTTCAAAATCAGCTACAAGTTTTCAGAAGTTCAAATCTGACTTTAGATTGAACTAATGATATTATTAGCAACTAAGTGGTGACATCTTGTCACCACCTAGTTTCGAATTTTGATTGAGTTCGGCAACACTGGTACTCCACTCGACTACGTTGGTCCGTTTCGGTAACAAAATGTTTGAACGTCGAAGGTACGATTTTTTTCTTTTTCCTTATTTTACGCGTCGTAGGCAGAATTCCCGCGACATTTTTATCACAAACCTGTTTCAGAATCAAATGTTGAAGAAAGTTTACATGTTTGCGAACAAATAGTTCAGAAGACAACAGAATCGTCGATTTAATACCTCGATAATCCTAGGAAGACGGAACGGGCAAGAAGTGCAGATCTTAACTGTTTTTGAAGTTCCGTTTACCAAACAAAAGTGATGCATTAAATCGACGATTCTGTCGTCTTCTGAACTATTTGTTCGAAACATGTACATTTTCTTAGACACATACCTGAGACTAACATAAAAGAGTTAATATTTAGAGTAGCCTATGTTAGTCTCAGGTGATACTGACACACGTTTGTGATAAAAATGTCATGGGAATTCTGCCTACAAATAAGGAAAAAGAAAAAAATCGTACCTTCGACGTTCCGACATTTTGTTACCGAAACGGACCAACGTAATCGAGTGGAGAACAAGTGTTACTGAACTCAATCAAGTAAATGCAACTATTTTGTTTCATTGACGTTACATATACCAACAAGGCTGGACATGACAAAACATCACCACCTAGTAGCTCATAATATTATTAGTTCAATCTAAAGAAATGGTACCATCCGTTTCGCTAACAGCGTAATCGATCGGAGTGCTTGTGGGTCCTAGTTGTTTTCTCGTATAATCAGCTACAACTTGACTTTTAAGTAGGTTTTAATCAAGAAAGCAAAAACTCATACCGAATTCGAACCCAAAAAGTCCATCTTCCATTTTAATTGTCACATTGACGTCGAGCCAAAATTTTTACAAAATCATTCAGTTTTCACCATTCTGAGCAATGTTGAAGTGTTTTGGGCCAAGTTGTCAGATGTGAACCTACCCCCAACTTGACAAAAAAAGTTGGCTACAGACCTGGACTAGTCTGTAGGGAAACATACAGTGGAAATACATGTAGACAGTACATTCAATGTAGAATAACAGCGATCGCAAAAACGTTTTACTCCTTACAAGTGCTAGTAACGTATTTTAAATCACGTATTCCATCCAATGCGAAACATATGTTTTAATCTCCCGTGAAAAGTTGAAGAAAGGGCCTGGTAGCAAATGTGTGGTATGATATGACACTGTTCAGTGTATCAGCTATTGCAGGAATATTATATCGGGTGTCCCAAAAAAGTGAGACACTTTTTGACAAGCATTTTCCGCAATGGATTAGTCGAATTCATTGAAAATTTGCATAAAGTAGGCTTATGATACCCTATAATTCATCAATAAAGATTTTCCAAAAATTCAGCTTATCTATTGCTGAGAAAATACTTGTCAATTCCAGCTTCTTTCAGATTGTTCAAAATGGGTAACCTTTCCGTTAATATTCGATATTTCCGCATGCTGTTTTTAATTTGTTTGTTAAATACTCGCATATGTATCCAGTCTCTTTCATATTTATAGCACATGCTAATGATATCCTATAATTCGTCAATAAGACTTTTCTTAGAATTCGGCTGATCTATTACTCACAAAATACTTGTCAAAAATTGTTTCACTTTTTGGGACACCCGATATACATTAGACATTAAGATTGCAAGCAATCTTACAGAGGCCCGATGGGCCTTTTGACAATATGAAGGTCAATCAAAGGTTATCTCTCAAGATCATACGTACTCCTGGCAACTTTTCGACCATGTTCATAAAACGATTTGTACACTTTGGAGCAAGCCATTATATAACTTTTATTGACATATAGTATCATAACATGATTACATTAGTCAGAACTATGGTAGACTACATATCTAAACTACAAAACACCAACTAAACTAAAAATACAAAAAATATATAAAAATATATAAGGTAACAATAATAGTGTGGTGCACACACAATGCATTATGACCACGCTAAATTCTTAAATGAATGGTAAATGAATTTGCCAATATGTCTTTGCAAGGTTACATTTTTACTAGAAATAAGATTGACAAATAAATTTTCACTTTGTAAATCCAAGTTAGGTAAAATTTCACGGGCTTTTGTATATAATATTTGCCTATTCTCATCATTTTTTGTACAAGCTAAAAAGAAATGACATTCATCCTCTACATCTTTACAAATATTACATACTCTTTCCTCTAAAGGTTTTGGTTTTGGCTTTGTATGTCTTCCAGTCTCAATTGCTAACTGATGAGAACTCATTCTAAATCTACTTGTAGCCAATCTATACTTTTTATTATCTAGTTTCAAGTACAATTCTTTACCAAAATCATTTTTAAATAATTTGTACGTTCTCAATATAGGATAAGTGTTCAAATCATTTTTCCATTTTTCTACAAACATTGAAGTTAAAAGTTGAAAAGTTGACCTTATTATATAGTACCTCATACCTAATCGACATATACGAATGGAGTACAACATGGCAATTGCAAGGTAAAGTACAATATCGAATTGGCATATGCGAATGGAGTACAATATGGCATGGTCAAGGTAAATAGATAGTTAAGTACAATATCGAATTGGCATATGTGAATGCAGTACAATATGGCATTTGCAAGATAAATAGATAGTAAAGTACAATATCGAATTGGCATATGCGAATGGAGTACAATATGGCATGGTCAAGGTAAATAGATAGTAAAGTACAATATCGAATTGGCATATGCGAATGGAGTACAATATGGCATTGTCAAGGTAAATAGATAGTTAAGTACAATATCGAATTGGCATATGTGAATGCAGTACAATATGGCATTTGCAAGATAAATAGATAGTAAAGTACAATATCGAATTGGCATATACGAAATGGAGTACAATATGGCATTTGCAAGGTAAATAGATAGTAAAGTACAATATCGAATTGGCATATGTGGATGCAGTACAATATGGCATTTGCAAGGTAAATAGATAGTAAAGTACAATATCGAATTGGCATATGCGAATGGAGTACAATATGGCATTTGCAAGGTAAATAGATAGTAAAGTACAATATCGAATTGGCATATGTGAATGCAGTACAATATGGCATTTGCAAGGTAAATAGATAGTAAAGTACAATATCGAATTGGCATATACGAATTGGAGTACAATATGGCATTTGCAAGGTAAATAGATAGTAAAGTACAATATCGAATTGGCATATGTAAATGCAGTACAATATGGCATTTGCAAGGTAAATAGATAGTAAAGTACAATATCGAATTGGCATATGCGAATGCAGTACAATATGGCATGATCAAGGTAAATAGATAGTTAAGTACAATATCGAATTGGCATATACGAATGGAGTTCAATATGGCATGGTCAAGGTAAATAGATAGTAA